TTGGAAGATGCCAAGAAAAAAGGGGGGCGGGTGCGGTTGGAGTTTCGGGTGTCGCGTCGTGTTGTGGTGGTAGGATCTGGAGTACATGTGTGTGTGTTGGAGACGGAGGGAGCCTGTTGAGTATCGGGTGTTGTGTTGGAGAAGGAGGCTGTTGAGTACTGGGTGTTGTGTTGGAGACGGAGGGAGTTGAGTAGAAGGTTATTTTCAAGTTCAGCTTGGGGAGGGAGCCTGTTGAGTATCGGGTGTTGTGTTGGAGAAGGAGGCTGTTGAGTACTGGGTGTTGTGTTGGAGACGGAGGGAGTTGAGTAGAAGGTTCTTTTCAAGTTCAGCTTGGGGAGGGAGCCTGTTCAGTATCGGGTTTTGTGTTGGAGAAGGAGGCTGTTGAGTACTGGGTGTTGTGTTGGAGACGGAGGGAGTTGAATAGAAGGGAGCTCAACAAGTCTTTCAAAAAAGAGCCTCAAAAGTGAGTCCGAAAATCGTGGGAATCATATATAAATTCATATATAATCATGAGAAAGAGGGGTTCTTGGTGCAGTTTGGGGAGGGAGCCTGTTGAGAATCGGGTGTTGTGTTGGAGAAGGAGGCTGTTGAGTACTGGGTGTTGTGTTGGAGACGGAGGGAGTTGAGTAGAAGGTTCTTTTCAAGTTCAGCTTGGGGAGGGAGCCTGTTGAGTATCGGATGTTGTGTTGGAGAAGGAGGCTGTTGAGTACTGGGTGTTGTGTTGGAGACGGAGGGAGTTGAGTAGAAGGTTCTTTTCAAGTTCAGCTTGGGGAGGGAGCCTGTTGAGTATCGGGTGTTGTGTTGGAAAAGGAGGCTGTTGAGTACTTGGTGTTGTGTTGGAGACGGAGGGAGTTGAGTAGAAGGTTTTTTTCAAGTTCAGCTTGGGGAGGGAGCCTGTTGAATATCGGGTGTTGTGTTGGAGAAGGAGGCTGTTGAGTAATGGGTGTTGTGATGGAGACGGAGGGAGTTGGATAGAAGGGAGCCCAAAAAGTCTTCCAAAAAAGAGCCTCAAAAGTGAGTCCGAAAATCGTGGGAATCATATATAAAGTCATGTATAATCATGAGAAAGGGAGTTATTGGTGGGTGCACAGGGCTACATATATATATATACATATATATACATACATATACATATGCATATACATATACATGTACGTGTACATATGGATAAACATTTACATATACATATACGTATACATACACATACATATACATATACATATACATATGCATATACATATACATATACATACACATATAAATACATATACATATACATACACATATACATATACCTATACATATACATATACATGTACATATACATATACATATACATATGCATATACATATATATATATACCCTGCCCCACCTTTTTGCGCGCGGACACGCCAATGGTCAGAGTAGGCTAGACCCCCCTCAAACCCCCCAGCTACTGTACGCACCGGGACGCAAGGGTACCCTACGCCACGCATTTCCTAGGCGGCAAGCACGCGGCGCCTACCGCACCGCGCGCTTGCCACCTAAGGCGTGCGAGGTGGTGCTCCACCGTTCGCATACAGCAATCTGGGGAGGGGGCCTACGCTATCTTCTGGGCTACGGCACCAGCAGAAAGCGTGCCTCAACACGGAAGGGGTGGACCGCGGGTGGGAGCCCAAACAGGCTACGGACGTGTTGGGGCGGCGTGTCCTGGCCAAAGGGGGGAAGACGGGTATACGCATACAGGGAACCAGTATACAGACATACCCTGCCCCACCTTTTTGCGTGCGGACACGCCAATGGTCAGAGTAGGCTAGACCCCCCTCAAACCCCCCAGCTACTGTACGCACCGGGATGCAAGGGTACCCTACGCCACGCATTTCCTAGGCGGCAAGCACGCGGCGCCTACCGCACCGCGCGCTCGCCACCTAATCCGAAAGCCCTTATAACGGCGACGAGGCGACGATCGAAAGCAGTGCCCCGGCACTGCTTTGAACGCGTTCAAAGCAGTGCCCCGGCACTGCTTTGAACGTATGATATGATGATATGATGATGATTATGATTGATGATGATGATGATTTTTCCAGCGTACACTGTCCGCAACTGCGGCAATCAACATCATGCTCCACTTGCCCGCAACTGCGGCCATCACCAACGCTGCGCCTCGAAGCTCCCGAGGGCGCTCGGCAGGTCGCCCGCTCGAGCCCCACTCGACTTCACGCTGAGGAGGCGAGCCCTCAGGGGCATTGTCCGCAACTGCGGCATGATCAGAGGGCCACCACTGCGCGCCATCAGCGCCCCATTCGCTCGAGCTCCAGTCCCACCAGGACCAGCCCTGCCATCTCGTGGCGGGACTGCGCGCCTCCCATGCGCCGCTGCCGCTGGCGTCCCAGGACCCAGCCGCCACTGCGGCACAAGAAGGGGTCGCATCGTCGCCGTTGGCAGCTTGCGGCGGTGGCGTGTTCCCAGCTCGCTCAGCCCCAGCGTCTCTCCCCGCAACTGCGGTTCCCATCTGGGGTC